GCTCCCCCAGTCTCCCCACACCTGCAGAATTTGAGAGAAACTGCTGAGCATCTAGAGACAGCTGGGTTACCTGCAGCTCGCGAGTGGTCCGTCGCAGGGCAGCCGAGGCCATGCCAGGGGCACTGGTGCTAATACACAATCTGCAGGACCTGCTCCACCAGGGCAATGGCCTTGAAGTGGTGCTCCTTCCAGAAGCCGGGTGCGAGGAGGGGATTGCACAGGGGTCAGTACTCGCGGTCTTCTCAGGGCGGTTACCCGCACCCAGGTCCCTGAAGTACTGACGGGCTAATGGCTTCTAAGTAGACGTCTTACATTTTTGAGCATCAGAATGCATGCCGGTTTCTGGCCCCCTTACCCATGTTCTTGGGTGGTTAGAGGGGAGGCAGTGGGCAAGAATCCTTGCATTTGGCCAGCGTGATGGCCACACCTGTAATCAAGCATTTTGGGAGGCCAAGGAGGGAGGATCGCTTGATGTCAGAAGTTAGAAGTCAGCCAAGATAACATAGGGAGACCTTCTGTCTCTACAAAAAAACAAAAATTAGCCAGGCATGGTGATGTGCGCCTCTAGTGTCAGCTGCTCTGGAGGCTGAGGCAGGAAGATCACTTGAGCCTGGGAGGTCGAGGCTACAGGGAGAGGTGATCGGGTCCCCGCACTCCATCCTGGACAAGAGAGAGAGACCCCATTTCGAAGAAAAAACCTTAGCACTTAACCTCACCAGGTGTTAACACAAACACCCGCCACCTTAGGGCCCCTCAGCACCTACAGCACCACACCTGTGTGCCCTGGAGAACACAAGGACCGAGGACAAGTCCTGACCTCCATTCCTGGCTCTGTGGACTTGGCTGAGCCACCTGCCCTCACCTTCTCGGTGAGGAAAAGAAATGCTCCATGCCAGCCCCATGCGCTAAATGCCAAGTATAAAGGTGGTGAGGGGCCTGGCCAGCTTTGCACACTGGAAAGAACAGACGGGATGAAACCCAGCAGGCCTCGATTCTCCAGGGCTGTAGCCTGGGCCTTGCAGTGTGACAAGCTTAAGAAAACCTCCGCTCAGGACAGTGGTTCCTGAATATGGCCAGGATTATCAGAAACCCCTGGTGTTTCTGATTAGCCTTATCATCCATATAAGGATGTAAATCACAGCAGTGCACACAGGGTGAACCCAAATGTTGGACACTGCTGCCTAAGTCCTTGGTCATTTCAACAAAACTAGTACTGGCACCACTTCCACGGAGCTTGGCTTGCTTCTGCCTTCCTCCCGGGGGAGAAAACTCAAAGAAGGAATAAACTACATTGTGCACAAAAATTAACCTTGCAGATGCGGATTCGGTAAATCTAGAAAGATCAGCTTTCCAGCAGCCCACACGAGACGTCTAAATTTGATATATTAAGGAATAGTGATAAAGTGTGTAGCTTTTTTTTTAATAAGAGATGGCAGTCTCGCTTTGATACCCAGGCCAAACCCCTGAGCTCAAGCAATCCTCCTGTCTTGGCCTCCCACGGCTGGAACTACAGGCCCATGACACCATGCCTGGCTAGTTTTTTAAATTTTTTTGTAGAGACAGTCTCGCCATCCTGCCCAGGCTGGTCTCAAACTCCCGGGCTCAGTGATCCACCTTCATCTCCCAATGTGTTGGGATTATAGATATGAGCCACTGCCCCCAGCCAAGTGTATACTTTAGAGATAGTGCAGCAGTAACTGCTAGAGGTAAAGAAAGCTGCAAGAATTTCTAGAAGTTGACTCTGAGGAATGAGCCTTGGAAAGCGACAGCTTTTAACCATAGGCACATACCACTTTGATAAATTTCCCAAATTTCAGAAAATAGACTGGGTGTGGTGGCTCCCAGTTTGTATATATAAACTGTCTTTCATCCAACTCTTGGAATCAGAGTAAAGCTTTTGGAAATCCATTTTGTCAGAGGTGAAGCATCTAACTGTTCTGAATGCTATTTCAAATTCAGTTAATAAAGCTCAACGTTGAGGACAGAAATTTGTTTCTACAGTGGACATACACTTACAAATGCCATGGTAAGGACGGAGGCTCAAGCCTGCAATCCCAGCACTTTGGGACGCCGAGGCGGGTGGATCACGAGGTCAGGAGTTCAAGACCAGCCTGGCCAAGATGGTGAAACCCCATCTCTACTAAAAATATAAAAAATTAGCCAGGCGTGGTGGCAGGTGCCTGTAATCCCAGATACTCGGGAGACTGAGGCAGAGAATTGCTTGAACCTGGGAGGCGGAGGTTGCAGCGAGCCAAGATCGTGCCGTTGCACTCTAGCCTGGGCAACAGAGCTAGAGTCTGTCTCAAAAAAAAAAAAAAAAAAAAAAAAAAAGCCATGGTACAAACAGGCTTACTAAATTCAAAATCCATGCAGCAGAAATGTACTTGTTCATACACAATTGTGGAGCCTGGCGCTCTTACTTTCTTGTTGCTTCTGCAATGTATTCAGAATGGCCAAATTTGAGACACTGGTGATGCCAACCAACCCAGTCACTGGGAACAAGCAGGTCAGCAATGAAGCAAATAGGGCAGCCCATGGCCCTCTCTGCAGCCTGAAGTTACAGGAATTCCCCTCCTCGTGAATTCCTATGGGCAAAATCTATGTGACCTCCTTCTCCAGTATTTTTTTTTTTTTTTTTTTTTTTGAGACGGAGTGTTGCTCTGTCACCCAGGCTGGAGTGCAGTGGCATGATCTCGGCTCACTGATAGCTCCACCTCCCGGGTTCACGCCATTCTCCTGCCTCAATGTCCCGAGTAGTGGAACTACAGGTGACCGCCATCACGCCCGGCTAATTTTTTGCATTTTTAGTAGAGACGGGGATTCACCATATTAGCTAGGATGGTCTCAATCTCCTGACCGCCTGCCTCAGCCTCCCAAAGTGCTGGGATTACAGGTGTGAGCCACCGCGCCCAGCCCTTCTCCAGTCTTTTATACAGCACAGAGCAGTTTCCTCAGTTTGAGGACGAAGAAATATATTAGACGCTCTCCAGATCCAGCTCTGCTCCTTTAGGTCTTTTTGTTCCTTCTCATTTGTTTTTAAATTAACAAATACAGATTGTATCTATATTTAAGGTGCTGTTTGGGAACTGTCTCTTGGAGAAGCTCTTTAGATAGAAAATGGCTGAGGGAGGAGGTGGAGTGGGAAAAAAGAAGAGAAAAAAGATATGAAACGGCTGAATTCAAGTGGCCATCAGCTATGTTTGACATATAGCATCCAGAAGATTCTAACAGGTGGGATGTAGCATAGTAGAGAATGCATCCCTGATGGGGATACTCGGGAGTCTCAGCAGCTCCTGGGGCTCATCTCGACTTGACCACTCAGGACTGTTGTTCCCAATGTTAAGAGTTTCTTTTCCTAAGATAACCACCCCATGTTCTCAGATGTTCTTCGCACAGGTATCTTTGACGCCCCTCCCAGGACACAAGAGTGATGCTGTAGACTTCTGAGGCTGGGACATAAAAGGCCACACAGCTTCTGCCTAGTTTGCTTGAGATGGGCACCCTTGGAAGCCACATGCAGAAGGACGTGTGTGCCGGGTGATGACAGCAGCTGATAAGTGAATGTCTTCAGGCGACCCTAGCCTACAGCTGCTAAATCACGTCTCAGACACTGGCGAACAGATGAGGCTTCCCCCACTGAGTTCTACCCAAACGGCGGGTTTGCCACCACCCAGCTAATTTTTTGTATATTTTGTCGACATGGGATTTCACCACGTTGCCCAGGCTGCTCTTGAACTCCTGGGTTCAAGCAATGCCTTTGCCTAGGCCTCTCAAAGTTCTGGGATTTCAGGCATGAGACACCGTGCTCGGCCTGTTTTGTTTTTTAAAAACAACTGTATCGAGACATGATTCAGACACTGTACAGTTGACCTACGTAAAGTGATGATTTAATGCTGTTTCAGGTATTCAGAGTTGTACAACCATCTCAATCCATTTCAGAGCATCTTCATAAGCACCCCCAAAAGAAACCCTGCACTCATTAGCAGTGAATCTCCATTTCCTCGCAAACCTCCTCCCAGTCCTGGGCAAGCACTCATCTACTTTCTGTCTCTCAAATAGATTTGTCTATTCTGGACATTTCATATAAACGAAACCATACAATAGGAAATCTTTTGTAATTGGCTTCTTTAACTTAACATGTCTTCAAGGTGCACTTACATTGTAGATGTTTCAGTACTTCCGTTCGTTTGTTTGTTTGGAAACAGGGTTTGGTCTGTCACCCAGGCTGGAGTGCAGTGGCACAATCATAGCTCACTCCAGACGTGCATACCTGGGCTCAAGCAATCCGCCCGCCTCAACCTCCTGAGCAGCTGGGACTACAGGTATGTGCCACGGGGCCCCACTAACTTTCTTTTTATGTTTAGTAGAGACAGGGTCTCGCTTTGTTGCCCAGACTGGTCTGGAACTCCTGTCTTCAATCAGTCCTCCTGCCTTGGCCTCTCAAAGTGCTGAGATTAAAGGTGTGAGCCACTCCTTTTTTTTTTTTTTTAATGGCCGAGTAATAGTCTGTTGTATGAATATACCACATTTTCTTTATCCATTCATTCATTGATGGACATTTGGGTTGTTTTTAATTATCAGCTATTATGAGTAATGATACTGTGAAAACTCATGCCCAAGTTTTTTGTGGGGAAATATGTTTTCACTTCTCTTGGCTATATACCCACAAGTGGAACTGCTGAATCCTATGGTAATTTTATGTTTAATCCTTGGAGAAATTGCCAAACTATTTTCCAAAGTGGTTGTACCATTTCACATTCCCCCCATCAGTGTGTGAATTTCCTCCCCTGTCTGTCTCTTGCTCACTTTCTTGCCATATGACATGCAGGCTCTGCTTCCCCTCTGCCATGACTGTAAGCTTCCTGAGGCCCTCCCCAGGAGCAGATGCCGGCACCACACCTTCTTGTACAGACTGCAGAACCGTGAGCCAAAGAAACCTCTTTTCTTTGTAAATGACCCAGTCTCAGGTATTCTTTTATAGCAACGGAAACAGACTAACACACAGCATCCTGCGAGGCTTTATTCTTCATTTGGTGGTGACTCTACTGTTAAGTTTTCGTCCAAATACTTCCGTCCCTAAGAATTTACTGAGGCAATTCTAAATTACAAAAAGCATGAGAGAGCACAAGAGGTGACAGAAGAGCCTTGGGCAGCCTGAGCCACAGTGGGCCTAGATGAAGTAGTTGGGACATTCGTGGGCAAACAAATGCCAGGCTTGATTAAAGGCATCCACGACAGCTGGCTCCAGGGGCCCTTCCTCTGCCGCTGCCAAGTTCTGCTCCAGCTGCTCCAGGCTGGACATGCCTAGGATGACCGCGTCCCCGTGGGCACCCTGAAAGGGAGACAGCCAGAATTCAACCCTCTTCTGCTACACAGTGACTCCACTCACAGCCCTCCCAGTCACGACCCTACCGAGATTTGGGCTCTCTTATATCCCATATGTCCAGAAGGAACTTAAGGTGCCTTGGATAGCTGTACCCATGTCACTCAAAACCTGTATTATTTCCCCTACTGCCACATGACGCTTCCAGACAGACCTACATTCACAGCCCAGTTCTGCCCCCCAGCAGCCGTGTAAAGGTGACTAAGTTATTAAAACCTCTCTGAGACTCAATCCTCTTCTCTGTTTTCAACATAATTATGTGTATGAAAAAGTAATGTAGAGCACTTAGCTCCTATTTATTGAGCACCTACTGTATATGTGCCAGACACTATTGCAACATCTAAGGCTGGAGTTGGAGAAAAATTTGAAAGAGGAAGACATGAGGCACTGAGAGAGGGAAATTTCAGCTCCCACCAAAAGGATGAGACTAGTGGGCTTTACAGTTAAACCTGTGTTAAAATGTATTCCCCTTTCATAGCTGGGTGAACCTCAGTTTCCTCATCAATAACACTGTGACAGTCATTTCATAAAGCCGAAAGAATAATGAAATCCCTGCAGTAAAGCCCTCATTACAAAGCCTGGTACTCAGATACCATCAAAGACCAATGGGAAGGTGGAGCACAGTGGCTCACGCCTGTCATCCCAGCACTTTCAGAGGCTGAGGAGGGTGCATTGTCTGAGCTCAGGAGTTCAAGACCAGACTAGGCAGCTTGACGAAACTCAGTCTCTAAACACAAACAATTAGCTAGCCAAGGTGGTGCCTGTCTGTAATCCCAGCTACTCAGGAGGCTGGGGGAGGAGAATTGCTTGAGTCTGGGAGGCAGAAGTTGCAGTGACCTGAGATCATGCCACTGCACTCCAGCTGGGGTAACAGAGCGAGACTCTATCAAAAATAAAAACAAAATAAAAACAAAAACAAAACAAACAGTGGGAAGACTGTTTATGAGAGTTAGAAGAAAAATTTCAGTGGAATTGAGAAAACAAATGCTTTGGGCTTCACCTAAATGCTGGTCCCCCTGGAAGGGAAGAAGCTGAGCGCCCAGGGTCGCTGGTTACCTGCAGCTGTGAGTGGTGGTACATCCACCGGAGGGCGGCTGAGGTCGTGCTGGGGGTGCTGGCGCCATATGCAGCCTGCAAGGCCTTCTCTACCAGGGCAATGCCCTCGAAGTGGTTCTCCTTCCAGAAGCTGGAAAGGGGGGACGGTGGCACAGGCGTCAGTACCATGGGGGCCACACTGGGAGCCACAACCAAAGGGTCATCCAGGGCCACTGCCCCACCCCACACCCTGCAGCCCTGAGGGGAGGGTGTCCTTTCTGGTCACAGGACTCCTACCCTGCTGGGCATCAGAACCACCCAAGATGCCGGCCCTCTCAACAGAGACCTCAACCAATCTTTATTCCTGAGAACTCATCACCCTGCTCTTATTTTCCCCTAGGGACACACAGGCCGCTGAGATGGGGCAGGATTCGGCCCCAGGCCTCCTAGACCTCCCTCCAGGACTCCTTCTTTCCTTCCTAGCAGGTGATTGCTCAGGAAAGAGCTATGACTTCAAGACCCTGAGGTCCAGGGAGCCTCATTTCCTCCTGGAGGTCCCCAGACAACAAGAAAACCCGCGGAGGGTTTGGAAATTCCTGAAGGAATGCAGGGGAGTAGGTGCAGCAGCGAGGAAAGGCTTTACCCCAGGAGCAGCCCAAGACTTCATTCCACATAAAGATGACCCCACCCCAGCCATCCACACCAAGCACCTCCAGCTCACCGACTCCTGTAGATCTCTGCCCACTGATTCCCAAAGAAGCGGCCCACCAGCCAGGACTTCTGTCTCCACATAAAGATGACCCCACCCCAGCCATCCACACCAAGCACCTCCAGCTCACCGACTCCTGTAGATCTCTGCCCACTGATTCCCTAAAGAAGCGGCCCACGGCTGTTTCCCGTCCTGTCCTCACTTGTACCTGCACAAAGCAGGCCCCTGTGGGAAGGCAGACCAGCCCCCGGCTCCAGAGTCCCCAGTGAAGCTACATCCTCAGGGCTCTGGTCTAGGAGGGGCAGGGACCCAGGAGGGCTGAAGACGCAGCCCAGCCTCTTGTCAAACCCTCCCTGCTTCCTATGGGGTCCTGGGCTGGGCATCTGTGGTCGGGAATCAGCTGAGCTAGCCAGGAATGCTCCACGTACCAGCCAGAGGGCTGTAGGCATAGAACCTCAGTCCAAAGTGCCTGAGGCAGGGAAGAGCTCCGTTTCCACTTCTGCCGGGTGGTGGCGCCTGTACATGCTCTGCAGAGAGGGACCCCGGGAGAGAGTGGATGTGTCAGAAAAGAAGGGACTCCTAAATTTACTCCTTATAGAACCCTTATTTCAGACCTTATCAATTCTAGGCCTTTAACCATCTGGGCATATACTTATTCTTACTGGTGCTGGCGAAAGGGGCTTATGCTCCGAGGAAAATTCATTCATTCAGCCAATCCTCATGAGCACCAACTCACGTGGCTGGTTGTCAGATTTGGATTGTTAAGCCAAAAGGACAGGGTCTCTTCCCTCAAGGTTTTATAATAAGGTCAAGTATAAATAGTTATAATCGAGTAATGAGGCAATCTTAATAGACGAGAAAGTTCTGTGACCAGTGCCTGGCACCAAGCAGGTGTACAAATATTTGTGCAATGAATCATGAGGGAGGTAAACAAGGACCTGAGTTCTCGTGGCCTTCTGGGCCCAGTCCAGAAAGGCTTCCAGATGATGAGACACGTATATGACCTGAACCCTTCTCCCAGAGAAGGGGCAGTGGGCAGGAAGGGACAGTGGCGGGAAGGGACAGTGGCGGAAGGGCATGTCCAGGCTGAGTGCAGGGCCAGGTGGGGAAGGAAGGGTCCAAGGTGCACAGGCCGGGCAGGAAGGAAGCAGATGCCCATGTGGCCAGCCTGAGGAGCTTGAATGGCATTCCTGAGGGCACCTTGAGCCATCTGCAGACTTTTACAGGGGCTGCTATGCAGAGGGCATGGCAGTCAGGGCAGCAAAGACAGCCCAGGATGAGCAGGAGTTCTGGAGACCTTGGCCTCTGCAGCCTCAGCCCTCACCTGGTACACAGTGGGCACGATCCAGCCATTGCTCTTGGGTGAGTGGTACAGATCTCGGCCACTTCCCAGGCGGTATAGTTGGGAGAGGCCAAGCTCCACAAACTTGCCCTGCAGGGGTGAGGTTCATTGTGAACGCAGGCAGCGCAGACCAGGAAGGGGGAGGCCAGGGTGGGGCCCTTTGGGAGTGGGCCACCCCTGCTCCACTCCTGGGACTCGCCCTGGTGCCTCTGAGTGGATCTCACCACAGTGGGATCAGAATGAGCAGCAGCGGGTCACCTCCCAGAGCTCAGGGGTCCCCTCACCTCCTGGTGCAGCTGGTGGCAGGCACGCAGCGTCTCTTCCACCGGGGTGCTGTGGTCAGGTCCATGTAGGTAGAAGAGGTCCACTCGGGGACACTGCAGCCGCTTCAGTGACGTCTCCAGCTGGAACCGGAGACTGTCAGGCTTCAGGGAGTTCCCCATCCATGGATTGGCCTTGGTAGCAATTTTCACTAAGAGGAGAGAGAAATGAAAATTCAGGGCTGGACGTGGTGGCTCACGCCTGTAATCCCAGCACACTGGGAGACCGAGGTGGGTAAATCACCTGAGGTGAGGAATTTGAGACCACTCTGGCCAACATGGTGAAACAGCGTCTCTACTAAAAATACAGAAATTAGCTGGGGGTGGTTGTGCATGCCTGTAATCCCTGCTAGGGAGGCTAGGCACAAGAATTTCATGAACCGGCTGGGTGTCGTGGCTAACGCCTGTAATCCCAGCACTTTGGGAGGCTGAGGCAGGCGGATCACAAAGTCAGGAGTTCAAGACTATCCTGGCTAACACGGTGAAACCCTGTCTCTACTAAAAATACAAAAAATTAACTGGGCATGGTGGTAGGCACCTGTAGTCCCAGTTACTCGGGAGGCTGAGGCAGGAGAATGGCATGAACCTGGGAGGCGGAGCTTGCAGTGAGCTGAGATCGCATCACTGCACTCCGGTTTGGGTGACAAAGCGAGAGTCTGTCTCAATAAAAAAAAAAAAAGAAAGAAAGAAAGAAAGGATTGCATGAATCTGGGAGATAGAGGTTGCAGTGAGCCTAGATCACGCCATTGCAGTAAAGCCTGGGCAACAGAGCAAGACTGTCAAAAAAAAAAAAAAAAAAGTAAGCTTAACACTCTTCTCCCTGCCCCCTATTAAGAATCCTAGTTGGAGGCCGGGTTCAGTGTCTCAAACTTGTAATCCCAGCTATTCGGGAGGTTGAGGCACAAGAATCGAGTGAACCCAGGAGGCAGAGGTTGCAGTGAGCCGAGATCTTGCCGCTATCCTCCAGCCTGTGTGCCAGAACCAGACTCTCTGTCAAAAAAAAAAAAAAAAAAAAAAAAAAATCCTAGTTGGAGATGAGGCACAGTGGCTCACCCCCATAAGGCCAACACTTAGGCCCAGGAGGGTGGATCTCTTGAGCCCAGGAGTTTGAGACCAGCCTGGGCAAAATGGTGAAACCCCGTCCCTACAAAAAATACAAAATTTGGCCGGGCATGGGGGCACACGCCTGTAATCTCAGCTACTTGGGAGACTGAGTTGAGAGGATCACATGAGCCTAGGAGGTCAAGGCTGTAGTGAGCAAATATTGTGCCACTGTGCTCCAGCCTGGACAACAGAATGAGACCCTGTTTCAAAAGAAAAATTAAAAAAGAATCCTAGATCCTAGTGGGCTGGAATAACAGGGGAGTGGAGAGTCCTCTTCCCACTTTTCACACTTAGAAAGTCACTTAGGCTGGCAGGAGGGCAGTCACTGGAGCCCTTGAGAACTGGGAGGGAGCAGGTTTGAGGAACTATTCATTTGGAATTTTTCCATGCCACCTCCACCCCTCTGCTTCTCAACTGAACTTCACTTCAGATCTGAGATCTGAGGACTTTCACCAGCCAACCTTGGACTCAAAGACAGAAGACAAAGAAGGATTAATAGAGGAAAGAAAAAAGTCAGAAATAAGGGCCAGGCAGAGGGTGTGGATCTGTGTTCGCTCACACCTGTAATCTCGGCACTTTGGGAAGCCAGGGCAGGAGGATTACTTGAGCCCAGGAGTTTGAGGCCAGCCTGGACAACAAAGTGAGACTCTGGTTTCGATGAATAATACAAAAAATTAACCAGGTGTGGTGGCACAGGTCGTGTTAATCCCAGCTACTCAGGAGGCGGAGGTGGGAGGATGGCTTGAGCCTTGAAAGGTCAAAGCCGCAATGAGCCATGATTGCACTATTGCACTCCAGTCTGGGTAAAAGAGCAAGGCCCTGTATCAAAACAACAACAACAACAACAACAAAACCAGAAATAAGATCAGAGCTCTCACCAAGTGGCAGTCAGGTGATCTAGAAAGAGTGTGGCACTGAGATGCAGGCACAGGCTTCTTTTGTTTGAGATGTACCATTTGGTAAATAAGAGGAGAAATGGACAAGACACCACTCAGACAGTCAGAATGGAAGGAGGAAATGGTGTTCATATTAAGAACAAAGAAACAGCTAACATTTCCCAGCCCTCACTATGTGCCTGCCAGGCATCAGCCTAAGCACCGCACATGGCATCAGACTGAGGGTGGCTCCTCCTGCCCCTTTACACACATCCTCCCCTCAGGCTACACCTGCCTCCTCCAGCACCCGCAGTGTTGCCAAATCACATTTGCCTTTCCACACCCATGCCCACTGCCCTGACGCCCTTGCCCCTCTTACTCCTCCTGGCAAACTCCTATCCGTTCTTTCTTCACGGGGTCCCTCCCAAAAAGGGCTCACTTGGCTCCCCAGCCATCTCTAGAATTCGAACTTCCTGGAGTGGGTTAGTGTCCATTTCTCTCCAATAGCCTCAGACAGAGCCTCCCACAGAGAGGGCAGTGAGACCCTGTACCACACCCAATTCCCCACCGCGCTAAGGGAGCTGCCAAGGTTCCCGGGCGTTGCCACCCTGGTGAGGTACCATTGTGAGCACCACAAGGTACTCAGAGCAAAGTCCAGGTCCCTGAGCAGGCTGGCGTGAGCGTAGGAGCAAGCAGATAGTGTGCTGGGTCTAAACTCTGATTTCAGACCGTGCCAGGGAGTGCCAGGCGATAAGCACAGAATTTCTGCAGATCAGGCCCGTCAAGGGCACCTGCAGGGCACAGGTGGGGACAGCAGTTGCACAATGCCAGATTCCAGTGTTTTTCGTGCTCCAGAGAGGGGCTAGCCAAGTCATTGCAGGCAAGACCAAGTCATCCAGGCGTCAGTGAGGGTGCTGAGCTACCTCCCGGAAGAGAAGACCAGAGAAAAGGAGTCCAGACAAAGTACTGTCCAGTTGTCCAGAGCTAGATGTGCCTGAGGTGCCTGGGGTTCCCAAGGCTGAGAGGTGGACGGGGGTTGGGGGGTGGGGAACAAAGCCGTGGGTGCTGCCTGGGGCCAGGGAGACCTGGGCGGTGCACGGTTGTGGACAGGCTCAGCTCTGCACGGTGTAGAAGGAGGATCAGGGGCCACTGTTACCTCTGCAGTCGCTGCTTCCCAGCCCGAGCCCCAGGCCGCCAAGGATGGTCTCGGACTGGCCGTCGCTGTACAGGAAGGCCGTGTCTATCTCGGTGTGGCCGCGCTCCAGGAAGGCGCGCGTGACTGCTGCGCTGGTGGGCGCGTCCATGCGGCGCCCCATCTCCATGGCGCCCAGCACCGTGGCGGGCCGGGCCCGCGATAGCTGCCGGGACATGACGGCGGCAACGGGATACTGGGACAGACCGGGCGCAGCACGGAGCGGTCAGTCGGAAGCACCAGCCCAGGAACTGGCGGCCGCTTGGCTTTAGGGACTGGCTCGGGCCCCGCCCACCGCGGAGTGGGGTTGAGGGCGCGGCTGAATGTGCCCAACACCGCCCACGCGCTGAACTCCGCGCTCAACCACGAGGACGGTCTGCACTTGCACCAAGCAAGAGGCGAAATGGCTGTGGCTTCCTACCGGTGACTCACTTCTTGGCCATTTTAACACTCCTCAACGTCCGCAAGGGTGAGGGGGTCCAAGGGTGGCGACGATCCCCAAGGGCGGGGACTCCTCCCTGTCCCGTCGCCCCCCATCCCTGGGCCTCGCCCGCCCGGGAGCTGTCCCAGGTCTCTGTCTCCTCCAGGAGGGAGCTTAGGAGTGGGGTGGACCTAAGGGCTGTTCCACCTGCCTGCCCTGTGGTTCAGGAGGACGAGGCTTACCAAAGGCTTAAGACAGAGTCCCCGTGGAGTGACATGGTTAAAGTCATGAAAGAAAAGAACTGTTGGCATTGAATTCTGTACCTAAATGGAAAAAATAAAAAATAAAAATAAAAATAAAACAACTGACTGACTGTGGTGACTTACGCCTGTAATCTCAACACTTTGGGAGATCAAGGCAGGAGAATAGACAGCCCAGGAGTTTAAATCCAGCCTGGGCAACATAGGGAGGCCTGGTCTCCAAAGAGTAAAAGAAAAAAAGAAGATAGAAAAATGGACCAATGCCCGGCTGCAGTGTGCTGTGATAGCTCCACTGCACTCTGCCCTGGGTGACAGAGGGCAAATCTGTCTCCAAATACAAAAGAAAAAAAAAAAAAAGACAAATAGACAGATGGAACAAATGAAAAACCAACAGCAAGATTAATTTAAACCTAATCATATCAATAATTACATTAAATATAAATGAAAAAAATACAAGTAAAAGGCAGAGATTGTTAGAATGGATAAAAAAGCAAAACCCAACTATATAGTAAATATTAGAAAACTATTGAAATATATGAACAGAGTAAGTGAACAGTAAAAAGACGGACCAGGCGCAGTGGCTCACGCCTCTAATCCCAGCACTTTGGGAGGCCAAGGGCGGCAGATCACCTGAGGTCAAGAGTTGGAGACCAGCCTAACTAAAATGGAGAAATCCCGTCTCTACTAAAAATACAAAATTAGCCGGGCGTGGTGGTGCATGCCTGTAATCCCAGCTACTTGGGAGGCTGAAGCAGGAGAATTGCATGAATGTGGGAGGCAGAGGTTGCAGTGAGCCAAGATGGCACCATTGCACTCCACTCCAGCCTAGGTAACAAGAGCAAAATTCTGTCTCAAAAAAAAAGAAAAGAAAAGAAAAAGTTAAAACGATGGGAAAAGACATACCTTGACAAAACTAAATTTTAAAAAGTTGGAATGGCTACATCAATATCAGTAAAAGTAGATTTCAAAACAAAAAATACTGGCCCACACAGTGGTTGACACCTGTAATCTCAGCACTTTGGGAGGCTGAAAAGGGACGACTGCTTGAGCCCAGGAGTTTGAGACCAGCCTGGGCAACACAGAGAGATCTTATCTCTACAAAAAAAAAATTTTAAAAGATTATCACAATGTGGTAGCATGTGCCTGTGGTCCCAGTTCTTCAGGAGGCTGAGGTGGGAGGATCAGCTGAGCCTGGGAAGTCAAGGTTGCAGTGAGCTGTGTTCATGCCATTGCACTCCAACCTGGGCAGCAGATTGAGACCCTGTCTCAAAACAACAACAATAACAACAACAACAAAAGCCTACCAAAGACAAAGAGGGACATACCATAATGACAAAGAGGTCAATTAACAAAGAAAATAGAATCCTCAATGTATATGCAAATAAAAGTAGAGCATCAGAATGCACAAAAAGCAATAATAGAACTTAAGAAGAAATAGACAAATACAAAATTATAGTTGGTTTCAACACACCACTCTCAACAGTTGTAGAACAGTTATCAGTCATAATTTACAGAAACTCAGTAAAGGTATACAAGACTTGAACAGGCCGGGTGCCGTAGCTCACGCCTGTAATCCCAACACTTTGGGAGGCTGAGGCGGGTGGATCATGAGGTCAGGAGTTCAAGACCAGCCTGGCCAAGATGGTAAAACCCCGTCTCTACTAAAAATACAAAAAATTCGCTAGACATGGCGGCAGGGTAATCTCAGCTACTTGGGAGGCTAAAGCAAGGAATTGCTTGAACCCAGGAGGCAGAAGTTACAGTGAGCCGAGATCGTGCCACTGTACTCCAGCCTGGGTGACAGAGCAAGACTCCATCTCAAAAAAAAAAAAAAGAAGACTTGAATAACACTATTTAACCAATTCCACATAAACAACATGAACGGAATACCCAGCAACAGCAGAATGTGCATTAAAGTGCACATCCACCAAGATATACCAATATATCCACAAAGATATATCTTTGGAGGCATAAAACAAGTCTTAATACATGCAAAGGAGGCCAGGCGTGGTGGCTCACATCTGTAATCCCAGCACTTTGAGAGACAGAGGCAGGGAGCTCACTTGAGGTCAGGCGTTCCAGATCAGCCTGGTCAACATCATGAGAATCCATCTCTACTAAAAATATAAAAAATAGACAGGCATGGTGGCATGCACCTGTAATCTCAGCTACACGAGAGGCTGAGACAGGAAAATCACTTGAACCTGGGAGACAGAGGTTGCAATGAGCCAAGATCATGCCACTGCACTCCAGCCTGGGCAACAGAGTGAGATTCTGTCTAAAAAAAGAAAATACCAAAAATAAATTAACAGGCTGGATGTTGTAGCTCACGCCTGTAATCCAAACACTTTTGGAGGTCGAGGCAGGCAGATTACCTGAGGTCAGGGCTTCTCTAGACCAGCCTGGCCAACATGGTGAAACCTCATCTCTACTAAAAATACAAAAATTAGCCGGGGGTGGTGGCTTATGCCTATAATCCCAGTTACTCAGGAGGCTGAGGCAGGAAAATCGCTTGCCCCAGCAGGTGGAGGTTGCAGTGAACCGAGATCACACCAGTGCACTCCAGCCTTGGCAACAGAGTGAGACTCCGACTCAAAAAAAAAAAAAAAAAAAGAAAGAAAGAAAGAAAAGAAAAGGGGAAAAAAAGAAAAGAAATAAATGAACACATACATTTCAAAGGATTTAAATAATACAAAGTACATCTCTGAGCACAATGGAATTAAACTAGAAAATAATAACAGAACTTAGAGCCTGAGAAGGAACTGAAAATAAGTAAATAGGTAAATAAATAAATAGAATAAAAAGGAAAAAGAGAAAATAATAACGGAATGATATCTGGAAAATCTCCACACACTTGGAAATTAAATTACCCATGGATCGAAGATGTAATCTCAGGGAAAATTAGATCATATTTTGAACTGAATGAAAGTAAAAACATGACATGTCAAATTTTCTGAGATGCAGCCACAGTAGTACTAAGAGGGAAATTTATAGCATCACTTTGACATATTATAAAAGCAGAAATATCTCAAATCAATAATGTAAGCATTCACTTTTTTTTTTTTTTTTTTTTTTGAGACGAACTCTCACTCTGTTGTACAGACTGGAGTGCAGTGGTGTGATCTCTGCTCACTGCAACCTCGGCCTCCCAGGTTCAAGCAATTCTCGTGCCTCAGCTCCTGAATAGCTGGAATTACACATATGTGCCACCACACCTGGCTAATTTTTGTATTTTTAGTAGAGACAGCATCTCGCCTTGTTGGCCAGGCTAGTCCCGAACTCCTGGCCTCAAGGGATCCTCCCACCTCAGCCTCCCAAAGTGTTGGGATTACAGGCGTGAGCCACTGCACCTGTGTGGGTCTTTTCTTTGATTAAGTTGTAAGAGTCCTGTCTCTTTTCTAGCTACAAGTTCCTTAACAGATATGTGATTTGCAAAATACTGTCCCATTCTGTGGGTTGTCTTTTCACTTTCTTGATAGTGTTCTCTGAAGCACGAACATTCTCAACTTTGATGGTGTTGACTTTACTTTTTCTTTTGCCACGTGTGCTTTAGGTGTCAATATGTAAGAAACCACTGCCTAATCCAAAGTCATACTTATCCAGTATTTTCTTCTAAGAGTTTTACAGTTTTACCTTATACATTTAGGTGGCTGATTCGTTTGAGTTAATATTTTGTGAACATGGTTATTTTCCTTGTTGATTGTGCTGACACTTTTTAAAATTAATTGATAATATATGAAGGGGTTTACTGCTGGACTCTAAATTCTGATCCATTGATTTATGTCTGTAACATGCCAGGACCACACTGTCTTTAACTTTGTAGTTGTTTTCTTCTGTTTATTTGGCTTGTTTTGTTTTGTTTTGTTTGGAGACGCAGTCTCTACTCTGTCGCCCAGGCTGGAGTGTAGTGGCCTGATCACGGTTCACTGCAACTGACTTCACTCTCCCAGATTCAAGCAATTCTCCCTGCCTCAGCCTTGCGTGGCTGGGATTACTGGCACCTGCCACCACGCAGCTATGTAGTTTTGTATTAAGTTCTGAAATCAGAAAGTGTCAGTCCTCCAACTGTGTTCTTTTTCAAGCATATTTTGGGTATCCTGGGTGCCCTGAATTTCCCTGTGAATTTTAGAATCAGTTTTCCAATTTCACTGTGGTCTCAAAAAAAAATGCTGGAGTGGCGTAGTGGCTCATGCCTGTAATCCCAGCATTCGAGGCACCAGAGGGGCAGCATATCAACTGAGGTCAGGAGTTAAGCCAGCCTGGACAACATATGCAGTTTCTACAAAATACACAAATTAACCAGGTGGGTGGCTCACACCTGTAATCCCAGCTACTCAGGAAGCTGTGCAGGAAAAATCAGTAGTTGAACCCGGGAGATGGAAGTTGCAGTGAGCCGAGATTGCGCCACTGCACTCTAGCCTGAAGGAACAGAGTGAGACTCCATCTTGAAAAATAAGCTTCACCATAAAATCAAAATAAAGCCAGTTGGGATTTGGACAAGTTATGTTGAATTTTCTCATCATCTTGGGGGATTTTTGTCATTTAAGCAATTGAATTTTGTGGTGTGCTTTTTTTGTCAAAGATAACCTTTGACAAGACCACCGCCTCAGGAGAATCTATAGTGTATGGATAAAAAAAAGAAT